ACTTTGTCAATTAGATTAATCCTAATGAACCCAAGATCACATAAGATGTACTCAAAGCGAGTACTTATCAACGATTATAATATAGTTACTTTAAATCTGTATTTATTTTATTTTTATGCACAAATACGAGTTGTACAATGGCGGACTTAATGCCACAGACGTTTTCTCCCAGTCTACCATAGGGTGGTGCTGAAATGTGTGACTAGGTGCACTAGACATTAATGAGAATTTAGACAATTATTGAGAATTTAGACAGAAACAGTGCTATAAATATACATACACATACATAAATACTTACCTAGTTACATACATACATAAACCTACATATTAATAATATATAAAACTTTAAAGAATCTGCTACGGTGTCCTTTTAAACAATAACATACAAATATGTTTTAAACACCTTTTGTTCAATATTGCACACCAATTCAAGCTTTTATAAAATCAAAAACAAGATACAATTAAATCAAGGTTAATTATATAATTGCGTTGAACAATAAAAAAAAACTGTATAAATCTCATAGTTGCTCGTTATATTTCCTGACCATTCATTATCAAGAACCTTGACTTTTATGTACAAGAGATGGCTTTCAAGATATAAAAGACCAATGCCAATTCAAATCACAATATTCATACAAACTGCTGACAAACTACTTTTGCATACAAAATTACCTGCCTGACTGTCTGACTAATTTATCAACGCAGAGGCTAAACCGCTGGGGCTACTGATGCTTTTAAAATATTCTAAACACTTATTAAGAAAGTATTTTGGTCAATTTTACCCCTTAGAGGGTAAAATAAGGGATGAACAGATGTATGGAAGTTTGCTATTTTCGAACACGAAATCTATTCTTCTAATATTATAAATGTGAAAGTTACTTGGTTTGTATGTTACGCTTTCAATTCCTAAATCATTAAAGCGATTTAAAAAAAATAACATCAACTGAAAGCTATATTATCAGGGAGTACCATAAGCTACTTTTGCAGCAGCCACGGGAAAAGTTAGTTTAGAATAACTATATACCAGTCAATTCGTTACAGGTATACGACCGTGACGCCGCCACCTGCTCAAACTATTGCTTACATTCCCCAAATCATCTATTTAAGCAATATTCCTTCCTTACCATTGCCTTTTCCTTTCCTTTCAAAATATTCCCATTTTTTCTATTCAATCTCTAAAGAGCCCGATCGACGGCAATAGGCTGTAACTGTAGTCTCACTTTTACGAATGTGGGACTAAAATTAAATTTGACTGTTTCGGTAGTGCGTATCGTTGCGACTGCTGTGCTGAGCGAGTGATCTGCCAATATTATTTTGTTTCGTATTTCGGGTGTTTTCTATAAACAACGTTTGTATTTACAAAAAAAAAAGAGTACATTCTATCAGCCAATCTAGCTTTCATAGTACAAGCTTTGCTTGGTTTGAAACTAGATGGCGTAGTGACTCAGATGACCGAAAATATTATTATGAATTAAAATGTGGACGTTCAATATCTTCTGCCTACCCCATCGGGACTATAGGCGTGAGTGAATGTACGTAACTACAAATAAGCTGTCACAATACGTTATTCAAATGAGTCCCCCGGAATTTACAAACCTAAAGTGACTAATTTATTCCGTTAAACGCTATTGCAATCTACTTAGCTATTATATCTATAACCGACACTATAATGCTTATTGCAAGCCTTTGTTCGTGTGACAAAATTTAAAAAAAAAGCCTTGACAAAACAATTTTTTTTACTACTTTGGTTAACAAATTTAAAAGAATTGAGGTTGAGAAACGCAAGGAGTTTGTAGATTGTAACGCACAGACCCCGTAATGTAACATTTCCTTAAAGCTAGAAAAACATTTTAGAAGACTATAAATAGATTAAATTATACATTATTTTATAAAATTATCATAAATTTTGACATTAATGGTGGATGGTAATTTATAATTTAAACAAATGAATTGGTTTTAACTGTATAGCTGATCTAAACTGTATGACTGTCATAAACAAAGGAAGTCTATAATCACATGAATGAGTAACAATTGGATCTCGTCAAGGTAGACAATACTATTTTCACCATCACTCATGGGACAGAAGAAACAACTTTTAAAGGTTGTATTGTTCGAGTAATTCTTAGGTTAGAGCTACAGATAAGCGGAGCGTGTAGCCGGTCGATACTTAGAGCACGATTATACGAATACCCGCTAAAATAGGGAATTTTACCTGATATTATGCTATGCTTGTTGACAGATCTACATCTCGTTTTTGGTCAGTCACGTTCGCGTAGATTTAAAACAACTGCAAAAATTAAAAGCGTATTTCTTCCATTTTGATTTCAACTTGTTTGTGTAAAATAAACGATAACTACATCATTTATAAAACAATTTTGGTGATGACGTATTATTTTAAAAATGTTTTTTTTAAATGAGTTCGTTATTACTTTTTTTTAAACCCTATCATTATTATTTTTAAATTTTTGTAACATTGATGACTTATCTTGTGTTTTTAAACTATTCATCAGTATAGTATAAAACACTAGATACTAACATAAATATAATGTGAGATTTCATTTGTCAGCCTTTTGAATCTTATTTTATGTGAATTGAAACTCAAGTTGATTTCTAAATGATGAGATCATTTGTATCTTGAGATAATTATTTTAGTCTTTATTAGTCATCATCATGGCTTAGTCACTTAATTATACTGTGTTTACACATAGTTATTGAACAATTACTGGCTAGTACAACTTCACTAACTGTACTATGACTATGTATGCTTAATCAAGATAAAAGACGAAATTTCTCCACTCCCGTCTTACTTCTGGGAGAATAATTCTAAAATTATTTATTTATTGAAACTTCATTCTGATATTATACTGAGACGGACTTAATGCCTAAGGCTTAACCTCTGCCATCCAACTTCAGGGCTATGCAAAAATAATGTTTTAGGTACGAAGATATAGAATGAATAGAGAAAACAATAAAAGTAAAAACAAGAGGTCATGTAGCTTTTCAAAACACTTTTATCGCCCACCGCTCCGCTTTGCTCTCCGCTAATCTAAATTCACGATATAATACATGAGAAAATGGCCTAGTTTATTTTTATCACAGTTGATCGTAGTATGGTTCAGGAGTTCACATAAGCTGACAGCACCGAACCAGGTCGCTGATTCTTGACAATGACTTTCGACAACCCTATTTCCATGAAGTTTCTAATGTCAAAACGTATCTTCACACTGTAATTAAACTTACGTATTGTTAAGATTTGAGTTGAGAGACAAGAAGATTTTTATGTGGTTTTAAATTGTAGGCAGATCGATGTACTTGTGAGGAAAGTAGGCATTTGTTTCTACATGAATATTACCTGGGCTTGTACTCAGTTTTTCCCAGGTTTTATAGGTTCACGAAAGTCATTGGCTTACCTTCACGTAATTAAAGTTTTTAACGTTGGTGTCAGGCTAGTGGCGGGCTATAAAAGAAACAAACCTTCTACAGTGCTGCATGTTGCGGCGACTATCTACATAGCGCTATTTACAAACAAAGATAACAAATACCTGGGCATTTGACGGGCCTGTTGGTCGAGTGGTTAGTGCCCCTGACTGCTAAGCCGGAGGTCGTGGGTTCGATTCCCACCCAGGACAAATATTGTGTGACGAGCATGATCATTAAAAATATATAAGTATGTTTATCAGCAGTCTGGTCACCATAGCACAGGCTCTGCCTAGTTTGGGATCAGACGGCCGTGTGTGAAATGTGTGAGGTGAGGTATTATATATTATTTTCCATAGAAATACTTCGACCAAAAAAAATCATATTTATGTACACAAATACGTTAGTAACTCTGTCTGTAAGGTATTGATTGTTGAGGAATACTTTATTTTGGATTGATGAGAAGTACTTTTTACCGCAAGAGGGAGCCGCGAGGAAAAGCAAGTTTTGTATAAATTTTAACTGAGCGGTAATCATTCCGTGGCCTAACCGAGCGGTAATCATTCCGTGACTCCTTATTATTAAAATCGTACGAACTAGACAAGGAAATTGTATGAAATTTTTACAGAAATCATCATCAAAGAAATTAGACTAATAAGAGCCTTACCTTACATTCTTTGGTCAAAACTTAATTACTTATCATACAAGTAATTATAATTGTTATTAAAATTGGTATTGAGTTATATTGTCACTTTTAATAATTTGCTTCACGTATATATTGTAGTCCGTGTGGTGACGGATTAAGAATACAGTGTCACCACCCCTATTCATCCCGTGGGTGTCGTAAGAGACGACTAAGGGAAAAAACTACGCAGAACAACAGCACTGCAGAGAGAAGGAAAACTTGACACAAACCCTATACCAACCCATCTGGCCAGCGTGGTATAGTAGGCCAAAACCTCCTTTCTAAGGAGAGGCTTATGTCCAGCAGTGGACTATTAAAGGCTGTTGATGTGATGTGATATATTGTAAGAAAGCTTATGTAATCATTAATTATATGTTATAAAAGCATATATCGCACCTTTATTCATAAACTGAATTAACTTAGAATTTCAATATTGTGGGCAATCGCATTTAAAGTTTGACATTTATGTACGTGCAAGTTCGTCAAAAAGAGAACGACGATATCTTATCTTTGCCATTTTCATGGTATCGAGTCGGCTGTTAGATTGTTCGTGTTCTACTGATGAAGTTAATTTGGTATTTGTTAAAAACTCGAAAAACGTAAATTTTGAATTAATTCAGTTTATTATTAAAGGTGCGATATGTAGTAAGATATCCATATAGATTACGTAGTATGCCAAAAGTTAAAAAATAACAGTCTGATAAGTAGCTAACGTAATGATGATTGATGATAATCATTGTAATCATCTTATGGAGACAAATAGCATCACTATTAATAACAAAACTTAAACTGTTATAGTCATAAAACAAGAAAAACAAAAAGAGAATTTAATACAGCACACTGCAAAAGTCGCTTTCTAAGCCCATCGTTAACAAGCTTTTTATAGCCTGTCATTATCATGATCAGCGGTGTTATTCTGGTTTATTGAACAAGGCTTAAGCCATGGCAATGACATTAAATTACGTATAATTTTTATTTCAATATGTTTTAAAATCTAAATTAGGTCGATATTTTACAAGTTTCTACCTAAATTTATGCATGGAGTTTATTTCGCAAATTTATTATAATATGCCGAATAATCTAAAATGACCTTAACCTGAATTCTATATCCATCATCAAAATGAGACCAAGCTTAAGTACAGTATTAGAAAAATATTATTGAAATCGGTTCAAAAGATGTCGCGTAACCTACACATACATAAAAGAACAGTGGAGCGACAAAGTGAGAAGTCGATTAAAACTTATCATAAAAAAAGAAGTAAGTGTAGTAGAAAAAATATTCTCCAACTTGTAGTAAACATCATAACGAGCAAGTACGTTTGACCTGGTTATTTTTTACTTTCATCACCAATTTGTTTCTTTTTTTAACCAAAATGTGATAACACCCACATAGACTCACTTTCTGTATCATTTACTGTGATACCGCACTCTCACTGTTCAATAGGATAAAAAACCGTTAATTGTTTATTTATACACATACATACTTGTTTCTTTTATCATCAACTAGCGGACCCGCGCAACTTCGTCTGCGTCTCTCAATAGTAATAAATTTTCTCCGTTTTTGAAACATTCTTCATTGGTGCTCCGCTCCTATTGGTCTTAGCGTGATGATATATAGCCTATAGCCTTCCTCGATAAATGGGCTATCTAACACTGAAAGAATGTTTTAAATCGGACCAGTAGTTCCTGAGATTAGCGCGTTCAAACAAAAAAACAAACAAACTCTTCAGCTTTATAATATTAGTATAGATATAAAGAGTTTTATGACCACTCAAAACTCATGATATTGATGATGACCCGCTGAGGCTTCCACGAACTAGTGTTAGCTAGCCTTAGCTAATTAATTTGCCGAAAAATGCTTTTGTTGTTTGTTTTTTAATTATTAATAATAATAATATTGTACCACATTCACACAACGCCATCTAGTCCCAAACTAAGCAGAGCTTGTACTATGGGTACTAGACAACTGATATAAATACATATATACTTTTTTTTTTGTAAATACATACTTATACATAGAAACACCCAGACCAAATCAAACATTAAATGTTAATGCACACAAATGTTTGACTTGAGCGGGAATCGAACCCGCGACCTTTGGAATAGCAGTCCGTTACACAAACCACTGCGCCATTCGGTCGTCAAAATTGCAGTAATGGATTAATATCTAAAGAAGCCTTCATTTCCTGCTAGTTTACCTTCTCAATCGTTTCCGAATTGATTGACAACTCCAATTGTTCGGACTATCTCTTCAAATTTCGACGTCTGGGTCTTTCGCTACCAGTTTCTTAAAATTGTTAGCCTTTCTTTATGTGACATGGTCAAAACACCTCAAAACGCATAATAGGTATATATAGGACGTTAGGTAATTCAAAGGTATAAAATACCTGTCATATGATTGCAATCATTCCAGCGTTATACATACATAAAAAATCTAAATAGACAACTATTTTGTTTTTCTTACAAACATTCTTAATAATTTCAATGAAATATTTACACAATTGCAATAAAAATAAATATGTGTATTATGACGTTGTCTATGCTTTTGTCTATGCTTGTATTTTCAGCACATGTGGTGAAATGACGTATAATAAATTATCTTTATATTGTTCTAAAATGTATTGTTGTAACACGCTCAAAATAATATTTATTATTACGTGGAAAATGTGTTGTTTTTGTAAACACTAAAGACTGGAGACCTAAATAATTGTCAAAGTCTAATCGCGCTTTGGATAAGTACTTTTTTCTTTAAAAAGACAACACCCGCATTATGGATATACACTTTACAAACATACATGAAACGGACACAAAGAACACCCAGACTCAGAACAACAATTTGTGGAACACACAAAATGTCGTCCCATGTGGGGATCGGACCCACAACACTCGCGTAGTAGTGAGCGGCGTGGCGACCGCTTAAAAAACTACGCCATCCGTGTAGTTCTTTCTCTAATTTTAAAATTTTTTCGCCTAAGGTAAAACAAGAGACAAAAACAAAAGACGGGCGTTAAGCCTTTAATAAAGAAATAAAAATAATTAAACTTTAGTTTATTTCATGCAATTCGTTTTTGGTAAATTATTCATAAATATTTTTCTCTCATGCTATGACAATCCGACCTTCTGTTATAAAATAAAGATTTTATAACAGAAGGTCGGATCCTTCTGTTATAAAATCTTCCGTCTCTAAAGTCCGGATATACCGATTATACAATAAGGTTTTTTTCTTGTTCTTACACATATTCTTTATTTCGTGAGAATAAGCTTCCGGAATATGCCGTTATGCCGGATTTATGTTTTATATCCGACGTATTTGACAAATTAAAAGGATTTGTTTCCTATTTAAATTAAGTTAATAATAGAAAACAAATCAAAACGCTTTTAGATTTCCATTACAGCTCTTTTTACTATTACACAGTTGAGACAGGAGTAGGTAGTATTAATACTACATATATCTTATATATAAAATTCTCGTGTCACAATGTTCGTTCCCGTACTCCTCCGAAACGGCTTGATTCTCATGAAATTTTGTGTGCACATCGGGTAGGTCTGAGAATCGGCCAACATCTATTTTTCATACCCCTAAATGGTAAGGGTAACCCATCCCTAATTTTTTTTTGTTTTGCAATACAACGTTTGCCGGGTCAGCTAGTAATATACAAATCTCACACACGTCTAATCCCTAACTAGGCAGAGCCTGTACTATGGTAAACCGACTGCTGATAAACATACTTATATATTTTTAAATAGATACATATTATAGATAAATTACATCCAGACACAGAACAAATGACCGTGCTCATCACACAATATTTGTCCTGGGTGGGAATCGAACCCACGACCTCCGGTTTAGCAGTCAGGGTCACTAACCACTAGACCAACAGGCCTGTCAAAACTTCTGATAATGAAAGCCTGATCTTGGAATCCGACAAAAGTTATAAAACAAAAGCTCATAAATTATAAACCGTTCCTCAAACGTATATTATCTTACATAGTTTTCTATTAATCAAACATTTCCCATCTGGTGGTACAATTAATGCATTACGTACATTAAAGCGTAAGCTATGCTTTCTAATACCACACACCGCACCATAGACAATGGATGGAAAACAAAGTTACGGAACTCCTTCGTGGTTCTTCCGCCACGGAAATGCAAACTTTTTTGTTAATTCTCTCCATTTCAATTAAAGTGTTGAGTGCGATTAATTAAATACAAAATATATGGGAACAAAAACTTTCTTGGCCGTTTTAGTGACGGTAATGAATTATCGTTTAGACTGCTTGATGGAGATGATGGAGATTTCTCATTGTGTATATGTTCTTTAATAAGGAAAGGAATTACAACCATTTACCACGATATTCATGACCATTTTTGACCCTTTTTCCAAATTCTTTTAAATAATAATAATAACTTTACACATAGTAGTGTGTGCACGTAGTATTGTGAGCTACTGTCGGATCCCAAAAATTAAGATTAATTACACCCAGACACAACAAAAGATCGTGCTTATCACACAACTATTTGTCCTGGGTGGGAATCGAACCCGGCTCTAGTGGTTAGTGACTCTGACTACTAGTTAGAGTCATTAACCACTAGAGTCTACTCCAAAGGCCCATCAAATGTTCTAATGGCGATACTGAAAAGTTATTTATTTTTAAGGTACAAATTAGTAATATCTATTCTCTCTCTTACAGGAACTGGAACAAGAGAAACACTTGCTGCGGAGGCGACTTGACACCACACAAGGAGAATATGAGGCGAGACTGCTGGAGTTGCAGAATGACATCAAGGAGCTCACCTCGAAGATTGGTACCAAAAATACCACCGTAAAACAGGTATTGTCTTTTTTATAACCTCACACATTTCACACACTCAAACTAGGCAGTGCCTATACTATGGTATCCAGACTGCTGATAGACATACTTATATATTTCTATATGTAGACACATAATTTATATAAATAACACTAGAGAGGAAATAAACATCGTGGCCATCACATTATATTTGTTCTGGGTGGAAATAGAACCCACGACCACTTAACAGTCAGGATCACTAACATAGTAACACTAAAATGAAGTCGTTTCCCATTCTTGTTCGCTTAAGTCTTTCAAATTACGCAATGGAATTTAATGCGGTTGTCATCAATACAGAGCGTGATTTGAGAGGAGGCTTTATACGTAAGATATATTGCACCCATGTGGACGGTGTGCAGTGGTAGCGTATGCGACTACTGTGCCGAGGTCTCGTTTTCGCTTCCCGGCTCGGACCAAATGTTTGTATGATCTGCAAATATTTTTTTCGTAGTTTGGGTGATTTCTATGTACATTATATACTTTTAAAAATATAAGTATTCTATCAGTCTATCTTACTTTCATAGTACAAGCTCTGCTTAGTTTGAAACTAGATGGCGTTGTGTGTCAGATGTCCAAAAAATATATAACATCATTTCAAAAATAAATAAATTAAAACTATGGATACATTTTTTATCTGAAACTTAAAAATAATCTGTAGAGACTATGAAATATCACTGAAATGAAACAGATATCAAGTATTATTTAATATGTCTTTACACAATACATTAAATAACAGAGGCGATTGAAAATTCACATCACTATACACATTGCCCTTAAGCTATTACGAAGTAACTGCCGTCTTCAATTACTAATTACCCCGATTAAATAATTAGTCTAAATGATTCTTAATTATAGTACCACATAAGAATAAGACGGCCCTACGGTCCTCCGAATACATAAATAGTTTACACAATATATGTAATAATATGTATTAGGCAAAAACAAACAAGTATCGAATACTAATACTACCTTACGTACGTACGTACGTTAAAGTACGTACGTACTTTATATTAGGTTTTTTTTTTCTATTTCTTTTTTTTTTATTCATACCATTATTAAAGTATTAATAAATACTTCTTTTTACATCAGCCGATTTTCTTTCAACAGAAAGTAGTAGCTTCTTCATCATCATGATATCATCAACATCATCATCAACAGCCTCTAACAGTCCACTGCTGGACATAGGCCTCTCCTTAGAAAGGAGGTTTTGACCTACTATACCACGCTGGCCAGACGGGTTGATATAGGGTTTAGAGCGGGAAGCTGGTCCTATTGAGGAAGCCGGGACGGCCTGCCGATTCGGTCGCGGCCTATAGGCCCATCGTGCTGCTGGACGAGGCGGGCAAATTGTTTGAGAGGGTTCTTTCTGCCCGCATCGTCCGGCACCTCTGCGAGGTGGGCCCCGATCTGTCGGACGCCCAATTTGGTTTTCGGGCGGGGCGTTCGACGGTCGACGCCGTGTTGCGCCTGAGGGCCGTGACCGAAGAGGCCGTGAGCTGTGGCGGCGTGCTGTTGGCGGTGTCACTGGACATCGCCAACGCATTCAATAGTCTGCCATTCAGCTGCATCAGGGAAGCACTCCACTATCATGGGGTGCCAAAGTACCTGAGGCGGCTGGTGGCAGACTATTTAGAGGAGCGTACCGTCGTGTACGAGGACCGAGAAGGTAATTTGAGGAGTCGGCCCATGTCGTGCGGTGTTCCACAGGGGTCTGTTCTTGGACCCCTCTTGTGGAACATAGGGTACGACTGGGCCCTTCGCGCCGATTTCCCCCCCGGGCTGGGTGTAATCTGTTACGCAGACGATACCCTCGTGACAGCCCGGGGGGCAAACTTCCAAGAGGCGGCGCGCCTGGCCACAGGGGGAGTCTCCCTGGTGGTCGGGCGCATTGAGGCGCTGGGCTTACGGGTGGCCCTAGATAAGACGGAGGCCCTGTTATTTCATGGGCCCCGTCGTGGTCCACCCCCTGGCGCCTCAATCGTGGTCAACTCGGTCCTCGTACCGGTTCGGGCCCAGATGAAATATCTGGGCCTGATCCTCGACGGGAGGTGGCTCTTCGACGAGCACTTCCGACAGCTTGCTCCAAAGCTGGTCGGCGCTGCGTCTGCCCTAGGGCGACTTTTGCCCAATATGGGTGGACCCAGCGTCGCGACAAGACGGCTGTACACGGGGGTTGTCCGGTCAATGGCGCTGTACGGTGCACCGGTGTGGGCGGCGGCTCTGACCGCCCAGAATAGGGTACGCCTCTGGCGCCCTCAGAGGGTAATGGCGGTCAGAGCCATACGCGGTTACCGCACCGTTTCTACGGAGGTGGCATGCGCGTTGGCCGGAACTCCCCCGTGGGATTTGGAGGCGGAAGTGCTCGCCGAAGTTTATCGGCGAGTGGCTGACTCCCGGGCGGAGAGCGGATTTCGCCCTCCGCCCGAGGAAATGCGCGAGTGGCGCGAAGCCGCTCGCCGAGCCACGATGGCTCGTTGGTCGTTCCGGCTGGAGACTCCACGCGCTGGCTTCGCCGCCGTGGAGGCTCTCCAGCCGGTCATCGCCGAGTGGGCAGGGCGGCAGCACGGGACCCTTTCCTTCCGACTGACGCAGGTGCTTTCCGGGCACGGTTGCTTCGGAAAGTACCTGCACACGGTCGCTAGGAGGGAACTGAGTCCCGCCTGCCACCACTGCGACTGCAGTGAGGACTCGGCCCAGCACACGCTGGCGGTCTGCCCCGCATGGGCGGCGCAGCGCCGGGCCCTCACTGCAGTCATCGGGGTGGATCTCTCGCTACCGGCCGTAGTGCGCTCCATGGCCGGTAGCGACAGTTGTTTTACCGCGGTCGCAACCTTCTGCGAGGTAGTAATCTCGCGGAAGGAGGCGGCGGAGAGGGCCCGGGAGGACGACCTCCACTCGGACCCGATCCGCCGCCGGCGAACCGGGCGGCGGAGGCCCGCCTACCACAGCCTCATGCCGCCCTGAGTGTGGCCGCGGGTGGACGGGGTGGGTTTCCCCTCCACCCGCATTAGTTGGCCAGCCGCGAGGAGGCGGCGTCCGCGTGTGCCGGACGTCGCCTAAAGAGAGGAACATCTACATTGAGACGGAGCCCGCACCAGGAGCGGGCTGGCGCTAGGAGGGGTCCGGATGTCTTAACAAAAGCTGTTCCCGGATCCCTCCTGTTACAGGCGCAGAGTGGCACACCGTGTGGTTTTAGTCGGTCCGAGTCCGACACACCACCCCGCCGCAAACCCCGGAGGGGTGACGGTCCGAGGGGATTTCCACACGTTAAAAAAAAAAAAAAAAAAAAAAAGGGTTTGTTTTATGTTTTCTTTCTCTTTGCAGTGCTGTTGTCCTGCATACTTTGCTCCCTTAGTCGGCTCTTACGACACCCACGGGATGAATAGGGGTGGTGACATTTCCTATTCCTCATCCGTCACTACACGTCACCACACATCATGATATAGGCATTATGAATGTAGTCTGAGATACTTTTTTTAAATTTAATTATTCCGTTTTCATTTAGTAGTTATTAGGTGAAATGTAGTTGTTTAAAAAACATGATTTTATGTTCCTGTACGCGGCGTACTGTCAGACATTCTATACTTACAACATTTGGAAGAACTACACTAAACGAACTTACAACGCACTACGCGTGCAGTACACAACAACGCCTTCATGGCCATATTTCCATTGTAATTTATATGGGTATTTACCAGCAAAAATTACTATTATATTATTATTATTTATTACCGATGACGGATTTTTGGATTTGATGGGGCATGTGATAAACATACTAAGATACAACTTAATACCGTGGGAGAGCCATGCTTCGGCACGAATGGGCCGGCTCGACCGGAGTGATACCACGGCCTCACAGAAAACCGGTGTTAGGCAATAACAAAAAGCAACAAGCAAAACATAAGTACTAAAATATATTACAATAAGACAGAAATCTTGAGTATCACCAGACGTGCAGTCCCTTCTGCAAAATTTATTTTATTTTCATCCAATTTACACTAACGAGCTAACACTGACACTAACTTTAGTACGTACTAAGAAACGACTTAACTTCGAACACCTGCGCCAATGTCGAATACATTAGATAAAATGGTCATGTTACAACTTGAATGTAACGACATTTAGTTATTTGTCAATTTATAGTAAAAAAGTTGCCATAGTAAAAAAGTTGTCATTGAGGACTAATAAAACCTACGTTGTTTTAAATGGATCACAGCACGAGGTTACTTTGTATAAACTTTTTAAAAACTAAACGTTTTGCATTTACTGGCCTGTTGGCCTAGTGGTTAATGATTCTGTTTGCTAAGCCAGAGGTCGTGGCTTCGATCCCCATTCAATAGATTCTCCTTCATTTATTGTGGGATTGTGAAAGTGAGTTTCTTTGTTTGTTTAAATCAAACTGATTAAAAAAAATCTTTACCGCGATAACCGACATACACGCAGACGGAGCCACGGGCAAGAGGTAGTAGTATATATAGTGAACTAAACTAAACCTAAAACTTCCTAAGCAGTAAAAGTGCTTTATCGATTCCAAGACATAGTCACCAGACTAAAACAAATTCAAAACAAAACTTTCAATTATCAGTATAACTAAATTCGTCATTGTTGTATTGTGACCAGAAAACGACGGATAAAAACAATAAGAGGACGCCTTGACCCTAAATTTATCGCAACTCTTTGTGTCCAAACTGTGTTTAGATGTGATTAACATTGAAAATACACATTAACGCTAAACCATGTACTATTCTGGCAAGGTTAGGATTCGTGGTGACGGTGACAGCGGACATTTAAAAACTTTAAATGCATAGTGCCTTTTTTTTCGTGTTTGGGTGGAAAATCCCTTCGGATCTCCGGCTCCTAGGGAACGCAGGAGCTAGGAGTATGTTGTGTTGCCACTAAAAGCCACCCCGACGGCTCGACGCCGCACCTAACTAGGCCCTTTTTTTTTTTTTTTTTTTTTTTTTACGTGTGGAAATCCCCTC